GCCTACGATGGACACTCGCCAGGAATTTTCATGGTCTTTCGAGATCAAGATGCTTCGGTCTAGATCTGACAATTACCAATAATGCTTTATTATTCCGTGTTCTACACTCACCTCTCCCGTCTCTCTTCTCAATTATACTTAGTGCTATTGAACTGGTCTGGACTACTACGCCCGCAGACTATCGTGAATACGACCCAGGTCCAGCCCTCTGCCCTGAACCTGTGTTAGTCAGTCTTTAGGCTCTGGTGATGGCTTACCAATAACCGCATCTCGTCCTATCGGGTGTCTATTGTACCAATGTCAAGGCTGTTTTAGTTGTCTGTTGTATGAAGTGAACTGAACTGTCTCGGGTCTTTTTGGCACCGTACACGTACACAGTCGTATGCACTCACAATGTGGAAATCGACATGCATAGGTCTCAATTAGATACGCCGATCATATACTCCTGTACTTGACAGGACACGCTTCCGTTGTCATTGGAGTCACAGTCTTCTATCTTGAGCCGCGAACAGTGCATTTACCGCCTATTATTCACTATGCCATGCCTCGCCTAGATCACGATATACCTCGGCGTCGAGCACAAGTACAGCAGCGTCTTGTCTCCGTCGACGTCATCATTAACTGACTGTAGCTCGGTTAGATTTATGCTGCTTGTCCGCCATAAACGCACGGCTAATGTTCCTCGTTACCGATTCCTTTTTCAATCGGTTCTTCCAGCGATGCTATCAATAAGTAGCTGAGGTGGCCGGGACCTTTTCATAGATCTTCATAAGTGCCGAGCATGTCATTCTGGCTGTGGGAAAGATCGTCTTCTGACCATCGGTTATCTTACCTGCCTTTACCTACTATTCATCAAATGAGATACAATGACCCATCCATTGGCCAATGACGAGCTTCTTATCAATGGATCCTCGGTACAAGACCTGTACAGTAATTTGATCACGTCATATGCTGTATAACATTGGACTTCGTGTTAAACGACGACTCTTTCGGTCTTATTTATGGCTTGAAGCAAGATGTTGTCGTAGTCTCATCCTTAGTAGAAATTATATTGGCGCCGAACTCCCCCACTATGCTAACCACGGGAGAATTAATAGCCTGGACCAGTAGACTAAAGCGTTAGACTAGTGTGTACTGCAAAAGGACTCAACAACTACTGATTACTTGTTTGTTTGTTTGTTTATTATTTATTTGTTTAGTTTGTGCCGTTTTGTTTAGTTTGTGTCTCCACCTTCAACATGCGGGGAGATCTGCAGTTGACTTATCAGATTAACATACATTTTGACAAAACGATGACTTTCATGTGGATGCAAATGATATCGCTTACATGTGGCTGCATTGTCTATTGCCGCCATTCTCAATAGTCGATGGAGCCCTCTCCAGATACGTCAATATGATAAGTTGAGCCACATCGCACTCAGCAGTGACCTTTTTGCTGTTATGGGAAATGAATGCTATTTTAAATATCAACTGCATGTGTAAGACCCACAGATGCACACTCCCAGATCCGTTGCCTACTAACTTGTTCAAAAGCTACGCGCTAATAGCGTATAATAGTCGTCTTTCATTAAACTTACCAAGAAAGGCCTTCTTTCTGGCTTATGAAATGTTTTCTAATAGAGAAGATCTCCATAGAAAAGGGATAAACAGAGTCCCGGAAACCCTCATCTCTTACATTAGGTAGATTGTCCAAATCAGTTGTTATTCAGACTACTACAGGGGAGCGAACTTATCCAATAAGCCATCATAGTCGCTCCATGCTTGAGCCGGATCGCATCTTATTGTCTCCCGTGAATGCGCGGCTGATTGTGCTGCAAGTGAGACATGGTATAAGTGAGATTTGGGGGACCAGGGATGAGACAGTTATGTCTCGGCTACTGTTGAAAACACCTTAACAGGAGCAACTGAATAACAGAACCAGAACAAGATTTCCCATGTGCTGAATTACGGCTGCCGCGGCGACTCACTGGAGAAGTGGATGGGCTCGTTCTTCAGCGAATGAATGCTCAACCATGATCTCAAAATGCATGTTCCACCTAGAATGGTCTTGAGACTCACCGAAGGCAAACTATTGGCGAGACTATTGGTAAACCAAACTCATACACTGGAGAGGTCATTGTAGGTCCGGCTGATGTCTCACTGTGTATGTCTCATGGTCTTATTTTTCCGATAATATCCATGTAGTCATGCTGTAGTATCACGAGAAGAGCCGCTCATCCAAGACTAAGTCTGACGGCGGAGTGGCCGACTTTGCATATGCTCGTTGTCTGATTCGGGACTGTTGTTCATCAATTCCACTCCTGCCTGCTTGACAAGATACAATCAATCAATTACCATCTCGATAGGCAATTAAGTTCAAAGCTTAATAGAAACGTTAGATTTGATATAGGTATTTCTTGGAAAGCGAAAAGGCTGAAGATCTCCTCCTAAGGAGCCGAACAATAACTACGTAGGTAATTAAAAGCCTCTTAAAATTATTGTGAAAATGCATAAGTTTATCTAAAAAATTACCTCAGTATCTTTTATTATTGATCTTATGTTTCTTACCTCCAAGATGCTGCAAGAGCATCATAATTACAAGACTCTATTTAGAAGGACTTGACAAAGCATTATGTAACTTGCGCTAGTAAACAAACTGAACGTACGGATAGACAAAGTTCCCGTCATATGTAGTCAACATACCCTTTCTCATTGTCCAAGACACTGGCTGACTAGCCATAAATCTGGTGGCTGGGTTCTGACGAGTGTTGACATCATGACTTTTCAACTAGGAAAATACATCTGAAAGTGATATGCCCGACTCCTCAATGATCTCGACTTCGTATTACGACAGTATTACATCAAAATTTGAAGATGGGAAAACCTCGTGTAATCTATTGGTTCCGAACAGATTTGCGACTTCACGATTCACCTGCTCTCAAAGCGGCTTTAGACCTTGACCCAGCAGTTCTTTGGCCCATCTTTACTTGGGATCCTCATTACGTCTACCGAGCGAGAGGAGGCCTTAATAGATGGCAGTTTCTGTAAGAAAAAGAAAAAGAAAAAAACGTTGCTCCTTGATGTGCAGTTATTCTGACGAAGAAAAGCCTGGATTGCCAGAATGACCTCTCCAGATCTATTACACAGGCGAACCCCAAGTCAAAACTCTTTGTTCTCAGAGAAGCGCCACAAACTCTATTTCCCAAGCTCTTCAAGGCATGGAAGGTCACTCACTTGGTCTTCGAAAAAGACACAGACAGTTATGGTCGCGAGAGAGATAGCGTTGTCGCCCAGGCGGCTAAAGATGCCGGTGTCGAAGTACTTGTCCGTTCGGGCAGGACGTTGTGGGATAGTGACCAGATAGTCGAGAAGCATGGCGGAAAGCCAACAATGTCCATCACGCAGCTTCAAACTGCAGGGAGTAAGCTTGGTGAGATCCGGAAACCTATTCCTGCTCCCAAGCATCTTCCGGATCCAGGAGACATGCCCGTCAACTTTGAGCAGGACGAACCGAATACCAAGCCAGATTTCAATGCAGGATTTCGAACAGAAGGAGATAAAGCATACACCAAGATAGCGGGGCCAAACGATGACTTTGCAATTGAAACAATGGAAGAACTGGGCTTCCCACCTGCGACCACACCCCATCGTGGAGGAGAAACGCGAGCGTTGAAAGAACTCGACAAGCTAATTGCAGACAAGAAATACACTGCAACTTTCCAGAAACCCAAAACCAATCCAGCTCAATTCGAGCCACAAGCTACCACTCTCCTATCGCCATTTTTGCACTTCGGGGCGCTTTCTGTGCGTTTGTTCTATTGGCGAATCCGGGAAATCATTGATTCCTATGGAAAGGGTGCTTCAACCCCTCCAGAAAGTCTTATTGGCCAACTGCTCTTCAGAGACATGTACTTCGCCGCTCAAGCTGCTTTGGGTTATGTCTTCTCGCAGACGGCAAACAATCCGTATTGTCGTTTCATCCCCTGGCACTTGCCTTCCAAGAGAAATTCGGAAACGGGACTCATCACCGGAGAGCATCACATTGACTCTGAGGAGGCAGAGATCTGGTTTAGAAGATGGAGAGTTGGAATGACCGGGTTCCCCTGGATAGATGCTTTGATGAGACAGCTAAAAGATGAAGGCTGGATACACCACCTGGGACGACATGCGGTTGCCTGCTTTTTGACAAGGGGCGGTTGCTATATCGACTGGGAGCGAGGTTGCGAGGTCTTCGAGGAATGGCTCCTAGACCATGAGCCAGCATGTAACGCTGGCAACTGGCAGTGGCTGTCTTGTACAGCCTTCTTTTCTCAGTACTTCCGTTGCTATAGCCCGATAGCCTTTGGTCAGAAGTGGGACAAAGAAGGAAATTTCATCCGTCGTTATGTGCCAGAGCTCAAGAACATGGACTCCAAGTACATCTACGAGCCGTGGAAAGCCCCTCTTTCGGATCAGAAAAAGGCAGGTGTCCGCATAACGGGCGACGGGTTGAACAGTATGGAGGAGGGAACATATCCAAAACCAATGTTTGACTTCGCAAAAAGACGTGACGTGTGCATCTCTGCTATGAAAACTGCATATCAGGTTGGTCTTCATGGGAATGATGGCCAGGCGCTTGATGGAACCTGGCGCAAACTCTTTCCGACTGGCCGTGGGGAGATTCAAGGCTATATTGAGAGTGATAATGGTGAGCACGCTGATTATGCAGACGATGGAGGGGATCGGGAGGATAACGAGGCAAAGGAGAAAGGAGAGGGAATAGATTCTATCGAAAATGGGGATGGAGCAATGGGTAAACGGAGCGGTAGACGGCACAGCAACGAGAATACCACAAAAAAGCAGAAGACGTGAGCATCGACGCTGTCTAGGTTATATCAAACAGAAGGGTTATTTATGGCAGTACCGTCAGTTCAATACTATACACTATAGAGGCACTTAAATTGTTAGTCGGATATAAACATAGTGTCACCTTGCAAGGCTGGGGGCACCTCCAAGTCTTATCATGGTCTACTTCCACATCATTAAAACTTTACACCGGGGTCTGCCAGTCTCGACCACTCCAAACCCCATAGATGGTAATTCTTCTTCAGCTCGGCATCTGTCTCCTTTGTTTCTCTCTCGAATTCCACCTCGGCAAGCTGTCGATACAAATCATGCCTGCCCTTGACTGCATCTGTGTACATATGTTGACGTGCCATCTCAGCATCACTTGCTCGAAGCAACTGGTCAAGCTCGGCGTCTGATTCTGAGTCTTCCAGCAACTCAAGTGTCTTCTTTGCCTCACCCACTTTCCCAAGCTTGACATAAGACTTTGCGAGACATGTCAGGCACTTCCGCTTCCATTCAAAGACGCCATCGTCAACGCTGAGGGCTTGCTTTAACAGGACCACGGCTTGGTCATACTTTCCATCTTGGAACATATATTCGCCATAGACTGTAAGGGCATTGCAGTTCTTCGCTTCAGCTACGAGCTTCATGAAGCGGTTCTCGACTTCCGCGAACGCAGTTGTTTTCCGCCATGATCCACCGGCGAGAAGCTGGCTCACAAGAGAGACGATGGCAGGGTTGTAGTTGAGTGCTGAAGCTGAAGCCCATATTGCCATCGAGAATGAACTATGGGCTTTCGTCCTCCTAAGCAACCACAATAAGCACGCCATCTCGTGTGCAACCTCTACTGGGATTTCGTTCTCTACACGTTGTTAGTGGGCCTATGAATGCTCTACCGACGGAAACTTACCCCAGAGGTTGACACGAGAAGGATGTGCTCCTTTTTTTATGGCATTTGAAAACTTCGATGCATACTCGTAATATTCTTCTGGTCTGAGAGTACCAACTTGATTCCCGGACGCTCGCATAGCCAGTTCGAAGTCCCTAGATGAGATTTGATTGAGGTCGAAGTCAGTCTGGAGGCTGGAGCTTGGCTGAGCATTAACAAATTTTGGTGCCCGGGGAGGTGGACGAAGAGGTTTCCTTGCGCCTTTGGGGGTAGCATATGAGCGAGTCTGATACCCATTGGAACTGGTTGCCCTCATGGTGCTCAGGGCAGCATGATGAGGACATGATTCTGCGACTGGCGCGAGTAGTAATGTAAGGCCACCACGCAACAATTGGGAAACATTACGAGGTTTTAGATGAAGTTTTGCAGTCGACATATTTTGAAAACTTAAAGGAGAGATAGTCTGGCTAACGAATCCTTCTCACCAGTAGTCGCATGTAGAAGTTGAGGTGAGAATCAGCCACGACTTGATATGTGGGGCGCCATATCAGCCAGTGTGCCAATCATATCTTGCGTTGGAGAATTGCCTGCCAAAAAAAACCATCTCAAGCTGAATTTTTCATACATCTTGAAGAGCTTAATCAACAACATTTCACAACCAGATCCAGCTCAGTGTGCTAGTCTCATACTTTGATTGAAAATCTTGAAGTCTCAGAATCCCCGTCTTATCTTGATTTCTGGCATTTTATTGTTCAGCGGCCGAAAAGCATCAGCATCCTGAGCCAGCTTTCTTAAGCCCATTCTTCCCATTCACCACAAGCTGTTCATCAGCTACAAATACTCGAAGATGGCACCTCAAACGCGCAAGAGAAACTACAACCAAAGTACAACAAAAGATACATCTGTTGACAAAACGACGTCAGAAGAAAAACGCAAGCTGCCTGTAAGAGCCAAGGACGGTGACTCCAGTGACGGTGCGAAGCCAACTTTAACGGAATCAAAGGGTACCAAGGTGGTTTTTGGAGATGATGACAATGATAACTCGGCGCCTGCTCCTATTGTGGTTTCAAAACCTGCTGTGCCGGTAGAGGAGGAAGACGAGGAAGACGACAGCGACGATGAAGCGCCCGAGGCCGTATCAACTTCCAAGGTGGCGTCTGATATCAAGAAATCCAACCAAGCAGCTCAGAAAGCAGCCCAGGAGTGAGTTTCGCCGGTCCTATCATTTCATGTTCTGAAATTCCTAACCTACGCTCAGGGAGGCTGCTGCACAGAAGCGCAAGCGTCGGGAACGCGATGATTTCTTCAAGCAGCAAGCTGAAGAACGCAAGAAATTGGAGGAGCAAGAGAAGGCTGAGGGAAATGAAGAAGTTTCCGTCAAAGAGGAGCCTGCTCAGTCGCTCATCCAACAAAGCAAAACAGAGAAAGCGGCCAACCTGTTACCCGCCGAGTTTTTGACAGATTCCAGTGAGGACGAGGCCGACGGGGTTGATGATCAACCAGAGGAGCGTCCAAGGAAACGTCGTGTTGCCACTGTGGAAAGAAGCCTTGCCCGTCAGGAAAGGGGACCTAAGGATGAGCGGGTAGGCTCAACTGTCTACCGCGTTGCCAACAAGACGGATGAGAGAATGACACCTAAGTTGAAGAAGCATGCAAAGAGCTCTAAAGATATTCTCTTGAAGAGAAACCGGAGTGTCACGAAGCAACGGTCTGGTTTCTTCGTCAGGTAGAAGAACAACCAAGTGTCAGTTCTTTGCCCATGTCAGTTCAATACCATAATATCATCTAAGAGCTGTTATGCTCAAAACACTACAAACATCTTGTTCAGACAGCAATTCGTTCAGATATCCTTGGTAGTAGTTACGACGCGTCCATCAACAAGATAAGCTATAGTTTAGAAACGTATAGTGATCTTTACCATGTCGTGGAGAGTTTTACGTTACAGTTATATACATACTTGAAGACCACTTTGCTCGGCGAAACAGATATCCGTACTATCACCAACAGTTATTGTCACAAAATCGAGCCCCATTCATCGTGTGATACCATTTGCCTTGAAAAGCCTAATGCCCTGGACCATGACCAGAGTATGTATGAGTCTCAAGACGCGACCTGCAAGCCGAAGCTAGGGCCGCATCAAACCCATATTATTCATTAAACTCTAACGTGTGCACACTTGAGCAGCTTGGCCGATAAGGTGCAGAGAGGCTATGCCACAATCTACGTCTGGACTACATAGATACGGCGTATTCTTTAGATCGACATAAGTTGGAAATGTCTGGGCATGCTTGTGCTCAGTTACCCACTGTTATTACTGCCCGATTTGCGTAAAGTATTTGGATCGGCAAGCGAGATTTTGGATATGCGAGGTACGCGACATCTGTAGCACTCGATACGACTGATACATTGGCATCGACATTGAACATAGCGTAGACCTTCAAAGTAGGTATAATAGAGAAGTTCTATAGCGCCCGCTGCGGTACCGTTTACACTAACTCAATACAGGCACGCTGACTGCATTGAGACACTGGCCATTCCGAACCAGATTGAGGTTATGTCGGGAGGCTGTCGAGGAACCAGCTTAGCATCTCGTCCTGTCATCCGAACCCAGTACCTGGCGAGTGGGCTGCATCTAAGACATGAAAAGAAACGATTCAATCAAGTCTCAGGCACTCCAAATGAGTTGACTCTCCGCACCAGAGTGGAGTAAAATGGAACATCTTCAGTGGAAACACCACGTCCGACCGAAACGCTCGAGGCACTTTGTTTAAAGGCCCTGGTCCATGTCTGCTCCTTCAGAATTGGGAGATATGCTCAAGTAGCGTCCCTGCCGGGGAAGAAGGGATGAAACGTTAAAGGTCAGAAATATGGTGACTGCAGGTGTTAAGTTTCGACAGCAACGATGGGAGCCACTGCGTAACAAGAGCGTAGTCGATACTACATGGAATGTGAATTAGCTGCTTTCAAGTTGCACGATATGGCATCATTTATGTTTGCTTCTTACCGGTCACCCATCACAGCTCCCGCAGGGCCTACGCCCGGTCACTCGCTTCCGAAGGCACCTTGGCGGTATGTACGGTACCGTGCAAGAAACACCTGATGGGTCCGAATCAATAGTTTCAATGTCCCTGCAGTCAAAATATATAATACGGCACATATAGCCTCTGCGGCACTGCTAATCCCAACGGCTGTTCTGGGCGAAGCGACGTTGACGACTGCAATACAACGTAGAACATTGCGCTTCGCCTTTTAGGCGAGTGAAAGCAGGGCGGGTCATAAAACATAATATTTTGTGATTCTCGTTAAGACTGTTGTCATATTTTAAGTTTGATACAATTGTGAGGCTTTTCCAGCATGGATTGACCCTGTGGTCGTGCATAAACTGAGGAGTGATTCGCAGCTAATATTTCATGTGCCGTAAATGATCGAGATTGATTTACCCGCTATCGTGTGCGTCTGGCAAGACAAGAAAAGAAAAGAAATGCTGACTGGTTTCGGGAGATCGACGCGAATTATTTCAGCTCATATCATCCCGCAGTTCGCACCTATTCACAGCAGGTGGTCAGGCTCAAAAGTCCATGGAAGAGTATTTAGACCAGTCAAAAAGCTCAACTGATCTTGGCTAGTTTGTTTCTGGAATAACCCCGGGCGGGGAGCACAGCAGGCAGTTAGCCACGTGGGAGAAACGTGACAGGAACTTGTCATGTACCTAGGAAGACAACCATGCGCACATGCAGGAGGGTTTGCTACAGATAGTTGCCTTAGTTGACAAGTCAAGTAGATGTTGCTTGATCACAGGACTACGCGGATGACATGCCGGACGACAGGAAATCAGGTTAAAAGATAGGAAAACATCAGCCGTCTCGTGGGGAAATCGTCATTATTGCCCTGGCTGCATATATGTATGTGACGCTTCCTGCGAATCGAATCTACGGACGAAATGGCATGGCAGGCTGAAAGAGGAGCCGAGAGCTGTAGGGCATTCCGAGCACGATTTGCGATTTGTTCCTCTGCGAGCTAACCAAGCCACGAACAGATACCAGCAGGCCGCTACGGGCACAGGCGGAAGGGTCCGTGCCAAAAAATCAAGGTCAATGCCAAGCACCTATCTCAGGATCACGAGTCGTTGGAAAACGATCTGAAGGGCTGCGTGGCGTTTTAGTTGGATCCAGGCGATATGGTTGCCCGACTTGTAGACTTCGAGAACTATCATTGTCTGCAAGGGGGTTCTGTTGTGAACAACTGTAGAAAGGTCGGAGATGGTTCCGTTGTGTTGATATGATATTATGTTACCATAAGAGCATTGACCCGCGATACCTGAAATCCATCTCATTATTAACGGTGAGCTAATTATTACCATTTATGCCAGATTCTAGGCTAGCATGGTTCTCCCGGCTTGTTGATGTATTGCCTCTGTTTGTGTACAAACAGTCCTGAATGGCTTCTTTGGTTTGCTTGCAGTATTTCATCCAGCCGAAGAAGGCTGCACGATTGGGCGCCCAAGAGAAATCCACCACCGTTTCTGTATGGGCAAAGGGGGCAAATCATCCTTGGTCTTGGAACCCAGGCTTTGCCAATGATCTCACAATGAATCAGTTGAATCGCGGTTGTCTGAAAGCGTCCACCATTACTTTGAGCCAGCACCCTCTGTAAGGGATGCATCAGCCCCAGCGTCCAGCCCATCCCCTCCGTCTCGCCCCTCAGAAGTTTCTTGTGACAAGTTGCTTGTCCACTAACTTAGCTCGTGTCTGCATGTTCCAGTTGGCTGTCGCACGACCGGTTCGCCCCATCCCAGCAGCCAGCAACCCATCGCCATCAAATAACTTATTAGCGGATAGAACATTCGTTGGAAGCACCATCGAAGCGCGCTAACCTGTACATCCATATGCAAGCCAATATGATATCACGCTGTGATCTCATGTCTAGACCTGACCGCTATTGCATTTCGATGCAGAGGCATTCAATACAGGATTTTAAATTGACCATTCCGTGGCTGCCTTAATCAGCAACGTGGAAATCAAGTTCACTATGTATATTCCCGCGGCTAACCCCATGTTGTTGATCATATCTGCCTTCAGAGCTTAGGCGAGATCAGACCGTACCGGGTATCACAAACTTGGCAGTTTGGGAAAGAATTCGCATTTACCTCTCGTATCTCGCAGGGTCTGAGCGCGAGACCTTGGGGAAACAGCAACGAATGAAGGTGAGATAACGATCAGAGTGAACAGGATCATATCATCATTGCTGGTATGGAAGCATTGCCTAGAGATACACGGGTCCGCAACTTCAAGTGAAGCTTTTCCCTATCTAGATTTCGGAGTGGGAAGCGGAGGGTTACCATTGATGGCGCCATGTCCCTTTGCGGATCAAAGTTAGTAGGGTTTGGTTCTGATGTGCTTTGAGCAGGGGGCATTCCATCACTGTGTATTTTGAGAGACTGGGCTAGTGTCACTTTCTTTCGGTCATTGCTGCATCACTCTACTATTTATCCTCGTTATTGAAAATGTGGACAGGTGTTGTCACTAAGGCTCTTTAACTCGTAGCATCTTGCCATGTGTAATCTGCAAGGCACCCTACTCAGAGGCCCACGATTCCAAAAACCCTCACTGGCATATTTTAGGCCTTCCTTCAACACCAGGATTGAGGTCCCTCCCAGAATGCTAATACGGCAGGCACTTATCCGTCGCGGATAGCTGCCAGGGAACCCCTATCCAATCAAATACCTGGGACTGGGACTCAGCATGGATACCCCGACGATGGAACAATCAGGGCATGCAAGACAACGTTATTAGGGTTAACAGAAGGACACTGTCTCCAACCTAGATACTATGTATAACGTCAACGCCACGATGGTAACAACAGTATTCTCCTAGACAAACTAAAGGAAACCATATTCCCTTCTCCTGTGACGTTGTGGTGGTGATGTAACAGCCCCAGAAGGCCAGGATTGAAGCCCTGGGCTTCTGGAAAACCCAGCCATCAGCCACCAACAGTCAGTCCACGAGCTGAGGATCGTTTCTTGTGTGTCTCGGATTACGTGCGTTTCATAAAAGAAACGAACTTACCCGCTACCAAGAAATGGTGACATTCTGAAACACACACAGGGCATGACTTCGTTTTGTTCTGTCATGTTTGTCCACTTTTCCCCATCTTACACTTGTGTGTGACTGTTTCGGTAGACCTGCACCAACTGAGATTTCGTCACAATCAACTTCCCCTCTGCCCTGTCTAGGTACATTGTAACTATTATCGCTTGCGGCTGTATTCCGAATTAGTCGAAGAGTCTGGCGAAACCCAGCAGGGGTGCAACGAACCTGAGGGGTTTATGGTGACTCTTGAATAACCTTGCTTGGCTGACTATACAGTGTGAATCGTGTCAATTTGTTTCTCTTCCTGCAACATCCCTGGCCTTGATCCTGCCTCCTTGATGATTATATTGATGTGGATTATGGGGTCAAGACTCAATTCTCCGGATTTGGTCAGTATTGTTCTCCGAATCTAAACCACTGTTACATATCAACTATTGTTCGTTTGTCAGGACACAGTGATCGCAAATTGCCAGTCAGTTGTTTCTTGCTGCACTGCCATATTATACGGAATCAGTTGTCAAGTTCCGACTTGAGTCAGGGTGTGAAAGCGGAGAGTCCAGTTTCCGGTATTACATTGAGTTCCAGATGGATCGACAAGTCGAGTGTACTGTTCTATGCTGAGTGACCACAGATCATGCTGAATTCAAATGCCTGCAGCCTCGAAGAACATCTCACAGATGAAATACCCTGTACACTTTCGCGATGGTATGTGGTTAAGCATGGACGCTTGGCTTGCGAATCAAGGCTGATGATCGCTAAGCCACATTACCTGCAACCTGGCTCGCACGGCCTTGGTGAGACGTACGCAATTGTCTGTAGACCAGTAAATGCTGGTCTTCGACAATCACTGCGCGTAAATATACTGTCTATGGTACGTTAATGATGAAGACATTCGCGTGTGGAGAAACAAGCGAGACAGCATACGACCTAGTGCCTGGCAAGGAAACCTGATGCTCGTGCGCGTGCCCTCCTGGCTTGCACCAGAATGTTAAACTTGGAGGCTTGTTCATTTGAAGGTCAGTTTAACGGCGATCGTCAACTTGACTAAGATACGTGA